AACAAAACAATATATACTCAGAGAGAGGGTCCCTATAACTTTCTGTGATATGAGATTCAATGGTGGCATATAGGAATTGAGGAGAAAGAGTGAAGGAAATGCACAGTATCCAAACAAAATTAGATACAAATATAGATAACCAGAATCAATAAAGCATGTGGAATGGTGAAGGACATATGGATAGTAGTGAATATGAAATGTCCACACAGATACACTCAAGCTCTAATTTTCACACTAAGCAAGAGTAAAGCACTAAGCTACCCCCAAAAAAATCTGGGAAATAAGCCTCGCTTCTACAGAATGTACGATGGTATGTTTAAAAATAGGAAAGTACATAAGGCCTGCATTGCTCTGCATTACATACAAAGGCAAGGAAGGGTAGAGGGGGCACACAAGACAGGAGAGACCCCCTTGTCCTGACACATACTCAGTGGAGGCTGGTGCCCCGAGAGCACCACTTGCTCTGTCCTGCTGAGCTCAGAGCAACCCGACATGCCGCTGGCACACATTAAACCTAGTTTAGCTCTTTCAGGTTAAACAGCTACAAATTATTTTTGCATATGGCCTGTTTTAGGCCTGTGTGCAGCAAATAAATGAGTGGTCACTCCTCCAGGCAGAAGAGTACAAAGAAATGCCACCCCTCCTCCCAGGCCTTTGCATGGTGCTGGCACAACCCACAAGTCACTCTGTGGCCACGTGTGCACATCTTGTTCCTCCCTGCACAACCCAGCACCACCCCCCTCGCCACCACAGCAGCTGCTGTGGATCCCCTCGCGTCCTTCCCAGCCCCTCACTGCTCCCGAACAGCCCCTTCCAGGGAGCAGCGCTGCCCTCCCTCCATCCAGGGGGCACCAGGCAGCAGCGCTGGCTCCCTGGGGCTCGCCGTGGCCTCTCTCCTGCCCTGTAAGCGTGACATGGCCTCCCAGCAGCAATGCGGGTGCTCGTGGTGGCCAGTCCTACTCCCAGTCCCTACCCCCGGCTGGATTAAAACAGCTTTGGGCTGGCCTGGCACAAAGGACTGTGGGGCAGAAAGCAGGACAGAGCTGGCATCTTCTGACTGCTGCCTTTCCTCCTCTTTTGCTTGCAGGTGTGCTGTGGGCCCTTCACTTGGATCAGGAACCAGCTTTCATCCTCAAGCCACCACAGCAGAGCAGCACAGCTGAATTTACTTGCACAGTGACTGGTGGGTACGGCTCCACCTTCGTCCACTGGTACCGATCACAAGGAGATGGGCCACCGCAGCGGCTGCTCTACCTATCCTTCAACAATCCGCAACCTGTACGGGAGACTGGGGTCTCTCCTGAGAAGGTCTCAGCCTTTTTCCCCTCCTCAGGCATCTGCAAATTGCTGGTGTACAAAGTGGGAAGTGCAGATGGTGGTCGCTATTACTGTGCAGTGTGGGATTTCCCACAACTTTGCAGGCGGCCAGGGCTCTTGTACAAGAAGCACGGGTGACAGCAGAAAACTTCCCCAGCCACCTGCAAACTGATGTTTCAACAGGTCTAACTGGGAGAATATGACTGGTATTGCTATCTTATCCTCCTAAGAAGTGCAGAGGATTGGGATTTTCTGCTTGCTAGTAGCTTCACTAGCTGCTGTGCACAGGATTTCAAGAGACAAATTTAGGTTGAGGTCCCACACTCCAACCTGATCCTTCATCTACTAGGTGCATTTATCAGTACTTCAGGCAGGCATCCGGCTGCTTTTCCTGTCTGAACAAAACTCAGAATCACTATCTTCATTAATATCCCCCTAGGCATTAAAATCAGTATGGACAAATAAATTAATACAGCTATCATGATCGCTGTCGTATGTCTGATTTATGATTGACTTGCTGCAGTGTTAGATGCTGTAGAAGATGGCTCTGTGAAGAAGTTCCAGTCCCTAGGGAATTACAGTATAGCTCCGTAAGAAAAACTGGCAAAAACTAGGAATAGGGAGAATAATTACTCTTGTTCCTTTTAGTGAGACACTTGAGCACTAAGAAATTTATGGCTGGGTAACCCTGAGCATTTAGCTCTCCAATTGAACTCACTGCAGGGATGGACATTCCTCATCTCTGCAGGCCAGATTTTGTAATTTGCCTGAGAACATGCAGGGACATTGCAGCAGGACGAGGGAGCTAAGGTTGGCACTGTCCTTTCAATGGGCTCCTTGCAAAATTGCCTCTGCTGGCAGAGACAAAGCTGTCAGTCTGCAGAACTGTTCTGCAGGAGGAAGGAAATGTCTGGAGAGCCTTCCCTCCACAGGGCATGCAATGGCGACACCACAATTATACAGGGCTCTGCAACTTATACAGTGGAATGAACACTGCAACTTTCTTTTGGGCAAGAGTTAACATATCTCTATAAGGAAA